CGACCAGTCTGCTGCTAACAACCTTTGGGGTCTTTCCTGAGTCTTATTTAACTTTATCACTGCCTTCTACTCCTTGTACAAGAGATATTCTATTCCATACTAAGAGTTCACGGGGATACATGTATTGGCGAACAACTGCTCGTTTCTAGTTACTGCTAGTCCTTGGCAGCAGGCCTTGAGTAAGCGCAGAAAAGAAAAAATACGTTAGATGGGTAATCAAAATACTTGAGATAGAATTGGGGCGTTAACAGGAAAATTGGGAGCAAATGGGTTGCATCATTTATGCGGTGTTAAATCGGTGAAATCGACAGAGTTTAAGAGTACAGGTGTGCGATTGCTCGGAAACTGATGCTGGGCTCATGGGATGAAACATTTCAATTAAGCTAATAAAATACCTAGAATAGCTAAATATTCGTATTTATTAGCTCTTTGATTCAAGCAAGTAGTCGGATCCCGTTCCCACACGAAAACCGCGGCATGCGTTCACCATGTGCTACGTCGATCTTTACGTGAATCGACTATAAATTTTTCTCGACCCGACGACCAATATTACTTTTCTTGCTTTCTAGACGTCTACAAGGCATCTACCTCGCGTGTACAATCCAGATTAGTGCACTCTAATGCCAAATATTACCCCCCAAAAATTGACCAAAAATTGCTTTTTCCAGAGACGAAGCACTGCAACTGTGAACAATTGGTGGAAGGCTACCGCGTGCGCATGCGTGCATGAATGATTAGCTAGTAGATATGTAGTGATGCATAGACTAATGCAAATACCCATATATATGTACGTATGCACTCGTGTGCTTGTACAGGCGTTTATAGTTATATATGCACAAGGCAATTACATAGAGCGGTTAAATAGTTTTAAACAGTAGCATGGGGGGAGGGGGGCAGTGTATGCTGTCATCCTAGGACTAGTGTTTGTTCAGGCTGGGCCCTCGACTTCTCCATCGTACCGCCACTATCTTGCTGATGGGGAGATTTTTTTGCTTTACTCTGACATGACCTGGATATTGGTCGAGCGTCATCTAATCTCTCTCGTTCGGATGGAGTCTGACGTCATCTCACTGCCTGTGTGTTACTAGGCCTTGCTAGACCACGATGGTAGCTGCAGCAGCTGTGCATAAACTTAACATTTACATAAACTTTTACATGAACGTTTACATAAAAGTTTATTTGCATAAACTTTTTATTTATATAAACTTTTTATAAACTATTTAACATAAACTTTTACATAAACTAAACATTTACATAAACTTAACATTTACCACTGCTGGTGCTAGTGGTGTCTGTTAGGTCTACCACGTGAACAAGCTAGCATTGGCAAGCATGTGCGCGTGTGGTCATGATAGTAAAGTATAAGGAAACCAACCCGTTGTGCTCTTAGATGCAATTATTCCTATTGCAATTTATTATTTATTTTTGTTTTTATTTTTGATTATTATAATTGTTATTAATATAATCACCATCATCATAACCATCATCATCATCATTATAATTGTTATTATCATCATCATCGTCATCATTATCATCATCATTATCATCATCATCATCATCATCATCATCTAGCTTCTTCTTCTTCTTTTTCTTCTTCTTCTTCTTATTCTTCTTATTCTTAATCTTATTATTATTATTATTTCCAAAGTGGATCACGGCATTAGCCGGTGGCTTTATTATTATTATTATTATTATTATTATTATTATTATTATTATTTCCAAAGTGGATCACGGCATTAGCCGGTGGCTTTATTATTATTATTATTATTATTATTTCCAAAGTGGATCACGGCATTAGCCGGTGGCTTCTGGGTTGACCGTGTCCCAACCTGGGACATAGGGATGCAATCCAGAATATTTCGCAGGATGTGTGCTGTTCCCAGTAGTGCGATTTTCTGCACTTCTTGGGCAGTGTGGTGGCCAGGGAGTTCCTTAAGGTTCTTCTCAAAACCATTCTTTATAGAGCCAAGGACTCCAACCACCACTGGTACAATTCTCGTCTTAGTATTCCACATCCTTCTAATTTCGATCACCAGATATTTGTACTTGGTGAGTATTTAAACTTTGAGTTGTACTTGGTTATTATTAATATTATTATTATTATTATTATTATTATTATCATCATCATCATCATCATCATCATCATCATCATCATTATCATCATCATCATCATCATCATCATCATCATTAATGCCCTAACCCTGCTGAGGAATGATGTTTATGGTTTTGCCAACAGCTCTACGGTTAGGGTTAGGGTTAGGGTTAGGGTTAGTGTAACTAGAGCGAAGATCATCCACCCCTCTCCCTTTACAACCCACCTAACCCCTCCACCTTTACAACCCACCTAACCCCTCCACCTTTACAACCCACATAACCCCTCCCCCTTTACAACCCACCTAACCCCTCCCCCTTTACAACCCACCTAACCCCTCCCCTTTACAACCACCTAACCCTCCCCCTTTACAACCC